GTTGCCCCGCCGGCAGCCCCGCCGCCGCTCCTGCGAGTTGGAGCAGCCCGTGGCCGGCTTCTCCCCTCCCTTGAAAGGGCTGAAGGGCTCCCGGGCCGGCGGCAGCAGAGCCTCAGCTGTGCCGCTCCCGGCGCTCGCTGGGCGCTCAGGTCGCTGCTGTGAGCGGCACCTGCCAGCAGTCCGGGAAAGGGACACGGCACCGGGCCGCCGGCATCCCCAGGGACCACTGAAAGTCCCCAGCAGCTGTGTATTTGCTTGCTGAGTTTCAGCTACCTGAGAGCTCCTCAGAGGACTGGAATGTTCAAATACACTCCAGGGAAGATGGGTTAGAGGGCGAGATACCCACAGCAGTCAGAGGCCCTGATAAACACAAACGTGCTTTGTTCTGCAATGAAACAAACTGATACCGCTACAGAAATTTAACTCTGGCCCCTGATAAGAATGGCTCTGCAGGAGACCTGGGAACACAAAAGTATCACAAAATTCTGCTATCATGCTGGCATTTAGTCCAAAGATAAGCAGGCTCAGGGTTTTACTCAATTTTGTAGGAAAAATCCTAGTGTTGGCTCTCCCATGTGACGGCAAACACGAAGTTTTTGGGTCAGCTGTGTGTAGTTTCTTTGAAGAGAGGAAGTCAGATGCTGTGTTTCCAGAATTTGTACAACTTAATCCTAGGCACAATAAAGGGACAAACCAAATGATTTATAGTCTTATATGAGGATTATTCCCTCAGACTGATGAATGATACCTTTTCACTCACCAGCAATTTCTCTAAACTGTGTTAGCTAAGTCTGTCTACATGTTACTGACAGTTTGCAAGCCTTGTTACTCCAGAGGAATCTGACCTTGCTGTGGATTACACGAGGGCCATGAGGGGAATATTTGCTTTCAGCACTTCTTGAACCACTTCAGGCCAACTGAAGTCCCTCTGCAGCCTCTGCATTCTTCTTGGAAAGCTGTAGGGCAGCTGTCCTGCTCCCAGCTGTAGGAAGAGCCAGTCTCCTGTTGGGTGGAACAGGAGCCACTGACCTGAGCCAGGGAGGGAAAAAGGGGCTTCATGCAAAATAGCCATTCAGAGACTGGTGTTTTCTTCCCTCTGGCACCACTGATTTTTTGTGAGGATGGTGAGGAAAGAGAAGAAGCTAGAGGGTTGGTGTGGCTTACTGAAGCAATTCATTCTCCAGCAAGAGTAAGAGTTGGCTTGCTTCTGCGCTATATAATATGAAAACTGGCATAATGTACTTTTGCAGGAGAAGAGCAATACCTTCCCTCACTCTTTGCACCTGGCTGACTATTTTCAGAAGCTGGAGCAGCGGAGCAAGCTGCACTCATGCTGCACTGCTGGCCCTTCCACTGGCTCTATGCCGATGAAGGTGAGCTGCTCTATCCAGAGCAGCGGTAGGAGCCACAGGCAAATCTGCACACCTTAGCCAGACAGCAGCCATGCCGAGTGTCCGTGTCTAAAGCCAAGTTTGCTCCTTGCAACCATGCTAGCATGTGCTGGGGGGCTGCCTGGCTTCAGCAAAGGGAGGTGCAGCTGCAGCAAGGGCCTCAGGGGATCCCAGCAGCAAGCTGGGAGACCTCTACTGACTCTCAGCTTTGGAGCAGCCTAAAGGGAATCCTTTGCCAAAGCTGTGGTTTGAGGCAGTGGAAAATCCTTGTTCAAGGGTGAGGAAGTGAGCAAAAGTGGCTCACCAGGCAGCTGAGCACCAGGGCCCAGCCATCGGGGCAAACAGCCAGAACCCCACATACTTGTGCCGACAGGTGAAAAATGCTGGGAACTTGGAGTGGCTGGAGTATGTGACGTGCCTCACTGCTATTTGGGTGTGAAGGTTTTGGTTCCTCTGCTTCCCAGAGGCTGAAGTTTCCCATGGTTTCATACTTGCTCTCAGTGTGTAATTCTGCAACAGGGGAGAGATGAAGGCTGCTCTTCCCCTGCACTAGTGCTGTTGTAGAGTATCGAGATTTATACAAACATGCAGAGAGAGGAAAGAAATCAGTAGTCTGTTTCCCTGTTAGGACTTATTCATGTAGGTCTTAAGCAAAAGGAAACTGACTTTAATCCCTGGAAGTCACAGAAAACAGCAAACTGTCCCACCTCCCTGTCATTCCAGGAGAAGTTAAGCTTCCGCTTCCACATACCTCAATACACCAGTAGAGAGTAATTTTCCATATCTGTGCATGATTTCCTTAGCTGCAGTGATGAGGAATATTCATTTCCTTCTCCATTTTGGCAAAGTAACTCTTAAAATCTTAATTCATATCTGATTTATCAGGATAATATGACAAAACTTGTTGCTGTGTGTATTTTCTGCAGAACCAGGCGATCCTGTTAATAGGTGTAGTCTGAGCAACACCCTGCAGAAATGAAACACATTATCTTGTATTTATGCAGCTTAACATTCTATTGACTTACTGCTATAGCAATACACTGAATACCCTCTATCATGATTTATTACTGGTCCTGGTTCTCTTCCTATTTTTTGCCTCATCTTTCTACTGTTCTGCTTGATTTACCCCAGTGAATCATCAGACAGTTTCCATTATTAAAAAAATCAATTACTTTGATGTACAATGGGCAGCACATACCTAGTTCCACATTTTGCATAAGCAGGAATTTTGGATGGCAGATCATGGCAATAATGAATGCCTGAGCTGAAAATAGCTTACTATGGACTGTTGGGATCCAACCTCTTTTCCTCCTGCTCCAGAAAGAGAGGTGTGTGCCATGGGACTCTCCATTACCACCCCTTGCCTCTGAGCAGGGCATCCAGTGTGCAGCAACCCTCCTGTGCTTTAATTTTCACAAAAGGGAAAGTAAAGTAACTTTCAAAAATGTGGCAAACAAATCTTAATTTAAGCCCTCTCGGGAAGTTGCTGCAAACTTCAGGAGAACTCCAACACAGCCTTTAAAGAAGGCCATAAAGCATCTTGAAACAAACCCTAAATCAGATTGTGATGAGAGCCAAAGGAGTAGTGACCTCTGCTCCTAATATGCAGAGATTAGAAAGACCTGTGGTTTATTCTGAATATACAGAGGACCAGACTTGCTCCTCCTGTTAGTCTAATGAGGTCAAAGGAGCAATACCCTGCCAACTACTCCAAGTGAGGAGCATACCCTGCCAACCACTAAATGCAGCTTCTGAGCTATAAACTTAACTAGATGTATAATTATTTGCAAGATGTATAATAAATGAAGACTCCCAGGCTTGACAGGACTAATATTACTGCTACCAGCTGTGTTTTGGCTTGTGGGCTTACAGGGGGAGGTAATTCTGTCTCTTTACTTGGCCCATTTGCTGAGTACATGTGAGCTGCGTTCGAAGGAACCCCACTTCTCAGACAAGCCTTTACATTTCCTGTGATGGTTCCTTGTAGGCAGAGTTGTGCAGGTTTTTATTTAACTCCCTCTCTGAAATCTCAGCACTTGCATTCACAACCACACAACCCTGTCGTCCTTTGCCTCATGATGCAAAACCAGGCTTCCCTTCATCAGCAAGCAGCAGTATTCCTAAGAGGAGATGTCTGAAACCGAAGTTACCAGCTTCTTTATGAGTAATAACTCTTGAAAAATTCCCAACTCCAAGCATATGTCCTTGTCCACACCAACTGCAACAAGAAGATGAAAGTCTTCTAAAAGGCTTGAAATGAAATTGCAGGATTTCCCGTAAGCCATCCAGCTTCACAGCCACCATCAGTCCCAGAAATGGAGAATGGCTCATTGCACACACTTGGCTATGCTTCACATGACCGAGAATATTAAATCTTGTAAACTCTGCTGTTATCTTCACCCTGACTTGATACTGCACATGCCTTTCCAAGGTCATGTACCTCCTTGCCTGTCTGCAGGGTGATGACACCAACTCTGGGATGTGTTTTGTTCAATTTCTCCCTTCTTAGAAAGTGTCACAGCTGGGGGAGGAGTGCTTTCTGATCCTACTTGGATAACTTGGAGAAGAGCCAGGGCTTTGTCTTTTCCTGGAAATGTAGCTGCAGGAAGAATGAATCACCAGGTTGAACCTGTATAACCAACTGAAAACAAAAGCTCAGACTTCTGTGTCTCACTTGGAAATAATCGGGGGAAAAATAGGCATCCTGTTTTGAAAACCACTACCAGCTGACAGGACAAAAATGTTGCACGTGTGATGTCTTTTGAAGCTGACAAGTAACCTAAGACTACAGCCATTTAAGGGAAAAATCCCTGAGCAAAACAGTAGTTAGGGAAATAGAATATTCCAATGTTTGGGGGAGAAAAGTAACCTGTGAGGTTATTCAGAACACCCGAGGTGGATTTTTAATAGCCCTAAAGTTCCACACACTATATTAAATCTCCTGTACTACCTTGGCTAGCAGTGAATACAAGCAAACCAGGGCTGGGGAACCTGTGTTTGATAGCATAAGGACAGACTGCAGTGCTGCTGTCATTGATTAAATCCCTCCTTTTGCCTTTGCTGCAATCTAAGATGTCATTACAGGCAATGCAGTAGCTGCTTGGCTGGCATAAGAGCATCTGGATCGCTGCAGGGGTACCAACGGCACAGGCATGTGGGAGTAAACCTTTATCTTAGCTTCTCTCTTCTGCTCCTACCTTTGTTTTGTCTTCAGGTAAAATAAAACCAGCTTGACAGTTACCAAAGACTAGGTTAGACTTAATGGAGGCTTAGTACCTGAGAAGAAAATCTGAGATGTGCTGGAGCCAAGATGGAGGCCTGCAAAGCTGTACTTTGGGCTGGCAGAACCACCACATTGATTTATCGAGTGTTAGAAATAGCTGTTACTGCAGGTCAGGGATACAGACTTCTTATGTGGAAAAGGAAAATGCTTTTCAGTATTTTAACACAAATATTAACATGAATAGTGGGTTTATTCATAACTGTGCATGTGTAAGTCCTGCAGCAAGTTTATTTAGGGTAACCTTCTGCAGTTCTAATTCCAACTCTGGGCCACCAAAGCCTGGACAGTGGTGCTAAGGGGCTCTCCCTCTTAGTTTGAAGGTACCTGAAATTGCTTAGACTCAACTCTTCCATCTTCTCTATCATCTGATGGATTTTCTTTCTAAGGACTCAAGAAGAGAAACACTGACAATACCATTGGAAATAGCAAAAAAATCCCCCAGATTACTTGTACATTACAGGTACTTGGATTTTTCCTTCTTTTAAAAGAGTAACATCTGCACTGAGGGAAATGCCTTTGCATCTATATGAATGCTATAGCTGTTGTCTGCCTGTCCATATAAATTTATTTTAAATTGTTTAAAATTAGTTGTTGCTAACTCGTTTTAAATTAATACAGTGCATTGCTTGCACTGTAATTTCCTCTCCAATTGCAAAACACTGCAACTAAAGAGCCTATCATAAATTTCTCCACTTAAGCCTCTAGATACACACTCAGACTCCACAAAAGGAAGGTTCTTGTAGCATTTTCCCTGCCCTGTGTCTGTTCCAGTTCCTCACCAGAGCCCTGCGCTCCCGGGAGCGCTGCTGGAGCAGCCTTTCCCAGGGTGCACCCACATCTGCTCACCTGTCAGTCTTGCTCCGTGAGTTATGGACTCTCCCCTCCCAAGACCCCACTGGAATCTCGTGGCCTGCAAGTTCAGCAGCTGGAGATGTGGGTAAGGCTGTAGGTCTGTGAACATCTGAAAGTGGGGGGAGGTTGCAAGCAAATTAAGTGCAGCTGGCAATCCAGTGGTTGGTTGTGAAGAAGAGATTACTCGATTTGCTTTTTCCTTGACTAAAACTTCAGAACAATGTCCACTTTCAGACCTGCAAGGCCATTGAGAGCTCACTCACATAATTCTACTAAAAGCTAAGTGGTCTTTCTGTAACAAGACACTTTAATAAATGTGCCACTTATATGTGGCAGTTTATCAAGAAGCAAGGTTGAAGGGATGAATGTAGTATTATTGATGGGAACAATTCTCTCTTCAGAGGTTCCAGAAACTTCCTGTGTTTCAGCTCAAGCACTTATGAAATCATACATCTTCATATTTTTGATCATTACTTCCACTGTTTAATGTAACTCTGTGTGTAAAGGAAATGAAACACTAGATCATTTGATTATACATTTATTTCAATATTTCACATTTTTTGCAAGGATCTTTCAGAAGCAGCAAGTTCTAAGGTCTACTGATAACCCACCAGTTTTTGCAGAAACTTAAGTTTTTATTTTTAATTCACCCCATCAGTTTCAAAGATGATCCAAATCACTTCAAGCTGAGACTGTCTTGATTTTGCAACTGCAAGCTGTCATCAACCAAATTAATCTCTGCTTTATTCCCTTTGTATTTAACAGCAAGTGATTCACCACCCCATCTATTTTATTGGTGTGGAGAATCTGGAAGATTCTTCTACTGGTGAGGATGAAAATGTAAAACTTGTTAAATCATTTCAGTGCTAGTCATTTGAATGGCTACTTACAGTGATACATAGAGAGAACGACTGCTTTCTTTTCTGGGTTTTCCTGCATGCTTTGTGTTAGCTCTTGTTCATTTGGTTGATGAAAGCTCTTAGCACAGCAGATATCTGTCCAAACTTTACTTCTAAGACAATTTTCATATTTGAGTGGAATGACAACCAGAAGTAGCTGCTGTTTATTTTGGGAGGAAAGGATTAAACCAGAAGTTTCCACACAAATGTAGAACGGAAACATTTGGAATAAGGCGTTGCTGTCAAAGGGTTATCAACAACACAGGTTTCTAGATAGAGTTTTAAAAAAAAAAAATCAGATTGTTTCTATTTATACCTGCCTTTGCCTTGGTAACCAGAGACTGTGTGAGGGATGCAGTATTTTCCCATCATGGATGTCTCCAAAATCCATGCGCAGACATGCGGTGCATCCAGTGTCTGCAGAGCTATCGCAAGAACTGTCACTTTCATTTCTAAGAGAGGATTTTGCATGCTAAGCAGCAAAGTGAAGATTGCAGAAAGAGAGTTATATTAGTATAGATTCAAAATAATTTGTACTCATTTCTATCTCACTTACTTTGTTCTTTGATCTTTTAAGTATTTCAAGGACCATTGCACTTAAACACTTTTTCTTAATTACCCCAAGCAGCTTACCCAAATCCGAGGTGGCAGGATTTACTCATAATTGGCTACATTATGCCTGCTTTATCAAGTAGTTGAATGAGGTAAGAATGGATTTGAAATCTATGATGGTTTTTTCATGCTTTAAATCGTTCTGCTTACCTTAAAATCAGCTGTTTCCTACTTCACAAGATTACCTGCAGCTTAGGTGTCCTTACAACCCTCTGCAGTGCTCAAAAGCCAAACCAGGCTATGTTCTCACCACTTCATTGCTGTGCTGAGCTTTAGCTCTGCTGGGGGAAAGCATTTCAGCTCTGGGCATCTTTTTTAGCCATAGTTCTGTGTTGTTTTGTTTTTCTTATCCTTTACTGTCAGGAAAGGTAGACGAAACCAAGTATGTCTCTCTGCCACTATAAAACCCAGGTACTCCATTTTCTTAGAAAATGGATGTGGGAAGGTGAAGAGAAGGTAAATATAGGCTCAGAATGAATATGGGGAATCAGGGCCCTCACTAAACTTCTAGTGGACTTGCTTCTCTCTTAATAGCTTCACTATCCAGTTATGATCTGGAATGTAATTTCTGATCTTCTGGCTAAGGCTCGAGGAAGTCAGTGCCAGAGCAACTTTATCAGGGAAGAAGGGGAAATATTTCTGGGAAGCAGGGCAGGATTGGTAGAGAACCTGCTGCACTCCAGAGATATTCAGGGATATCTGACTAACAAAATCACATTGTTGGGATAAAAGCACTCACTGCATTATCATCTTTGGGAACAATACGTTTTCACATGCAGCCTTTTTTTTTTTTACTCTAGTTGCTATTCAGCCACTTGGTCTTATGAAATCCTGCAGGGGAAGGAAACTCATCTGGGGGCAGAAAGGAGGCAGTTGGGAGCACTGGAGCCCTGCCACACTCCTCCATATTCTGGTTGGAGATCCCAGGCCTGGCATGTGGTACAGGAGGTGGAGGTGAAAGCTTTGTACCATTTGGGAGTTTCCCCCTATTTGCCTGCTGGTGTAGTTTAGGCAGAGTGTAGGTGACTCAAAAAGTCATTCAAACAGAGTTCTCATTTCAAATGTAATGACTCTCATTGCTTTTCCCACACTGCTGATATAAATAATTAAAAAATCGAGATAATAGCACAAGCAATTTCAAACTCTCAAAAGCAGGAATAGTGGCAAAGGACCAGCACTTTAGGACATAAAACCACAGAAAACTGAATCATCACACATGTTCTGGCATATTTATAGGGAGAAGTTGAGTTGCCATAAGACAAGTACAGACTGGTTTGGGACTAGTGAAATTTTGGGTTCTATTCTCCTACAGTAGCAGAACCTTAAAAATAAGCTTTACTTTCTGCTACCCCTGTGCAACCTCTAATGATCCTCCACAGAGGTTTTAATGAATCTTGAGCCACTCTGTTGAAACTGACAGCTTTTAGATGTAACCACATTTGCCTTTGTCTGCCAGAGAGATTTGCTGGTCCCTATGGGAAAGGCAGGGAATGTTTTCTGGAGCTGGTTACGGTCCCCAGCTTCGAGGGGCCAGCCTTCCCCCTTCGGTGGTGTCACCGGGAGCTGCCAGGGCACAGAGCCACGAGAGATGGGGCAGAGAAGATGTGTCGCCTGCCCCTGCTGCCCCACGCTCCTCTCAGGGGCTGAGGAGCGTGGCTGCAGGCACTGCGCCTTTCTGTGGGGGACCTGCAGCAGTGTCTCCAGACAGCCAGAGCACCAGTGCAGCCAGGACCCTTCCCTGGCTCTCCCCTGGCCTTTAGCAGTCTTTGGAGCTAGTTCAAGTAACGCAGGAGAGGAGCACTGTGTTGTTTTGCCAAACAAGAGATTAAATGGAGCCAAAGGTGAAGAGAAGCCCATGCACAAAGCGGCGGGGAGCGTTCCGCCACACGGCCGGGCGAGAGCTGCCTTGGCTGTGCTGCCTCGGTCAGTGCTCGACTGAGATGCAGAACCTCAGTGTTTCTGCGCGGGTTGCCCAGCGACTGAGGGAGCGCTTCCAGGCTGCGATGAGCACTTGCAGAGATTATGCTCTCCGTGACAGAAATGGAGGACGAGGCTTCCTGGGCTGCACAAATGCCTTTCCCCGGCACTGGCTTCAAACCCCCCGGAGCAAAAGCTAGAGGCTGGCACCACAGGGAGGCTGCGGGGACAGCTGACAATGTCCCAGGGGGCGTGGGACCCTTCTTCCCGTAGCTTTCCGCGCGGCAGTGGCTGTGAGCAGCCAGGAGCCCCTCCGGGCCCCGGCCTCCCGCAGGAGGCAGCGCGGCGCTTCTCCCCTCGGGCCGCCCCGGGGCTCTCCCCGGGCACGGCNCCCTGCCCGCGGCGTGGGGCAGCTCGGGCACGGCCTTGCCGGCGGCGAGGCCGCGGTGAGCTGGGGCCCGGGGCGCGGCGGCAGGCGGAGGGATGGCCCTGGTGCCCTACGAGGAGGGAGGCGGCTGGGCAGCGCGGCAGCTGCACAGCCCTTCGGCCACCTTCCACTTCGCCAGCCGCACCATCCACCTCCAGCAGGACTGGCGGCGGCTGGGGGTGGCGGCCGTGGTCTGGGACGCGGTAGGTGCTCACGGCAAGCGCAGCTTTTCTGCACTCGGTGGCTTCCTGTGCCTCTCGCCGAGCTTTCAGGTTCACCATAGAAAACTATTTACCGTAGAATTGTAAAGGGAAGGCTTTAAATTTTATTAATCAATTAATAAATTAATTAATAAATTTTAATGGTAGGAAAGAAAATGCTAAGCTGTGCTTTACTTTTCCCTCTTCCCCCATAAGAGATCCTGCAGGAACGCAAGGGAGACGTGCAACCTAAACCCTGCACAGCCAGTGCCCAGTGCAGGAAATACTCTGGGTAACTCTCAACTCTTTCTTTACGGTGGCTGGTGATGTTAGTTTGGCACCCTTCAGAGCACAGCATGGATCCCACTGTTTGTAGCCTCAAGCAGGATTGCTGATAGACTTTATCTTGGGGATAAGAAGCATCCAAAAGAGAGGAATTTGTGGTCGGTCCAAGGCTGCAGGGCAGTTGCTCACAGCATCATTGTAGGAATCCAAGGGCTTCCCATCAGGTTGGATCTCAGTCTACACATACTGAACTTTTACCTCTAGTTTAAAAGAAGGAGTGTAGCATTTTTTGCAAACTTCTCAAATTAATTGGTGTACAGGGTTGCTGATCTTTCTGGACATCAACTTTGACAGAACTTGCTGGGGGAGAGTTTCTTATCAAGATTTATATTACATATAACATGCTAGATTCAACCAGTGAGAAGTGTCATTAGTTTACTTTCTCTGTCTTTCCTGAGGGCATACCAGTTTTGTGCAGAAACCATTTGAAATACTGTACAAGATACTAAGAAACCTTATTCTGGACTTTTGCAATACTTTGTTCATTTGCTTGGCAATCCCTCAGTTTCTCCTTTCCAAATAGAACTTTTTCTACCTTCTGTTATGTTTGGGGATTCATGGAGCAGTTACCACATCCAAGTTGTAACCTCTGTGGTTCTTTTTTCATTTGGCCAGTAGGAGCCTTCCATAAAACTCGATAAAAACCTTCCATAAAGAATAAAAAGACTACATGTGCACACAGGAGGTGGAGAAGGGCTGAACAAAGTCTTGCTGCAGACCTGAAGCATCTGACCCTTCCCATAACCTTCTCTCTCAGGTTAAACCAGAAACCCCATGTTCAGTATGACTGATACCCTGTGCTTAATCGCCCTTGTCTCTTGGCTTAGGCTGTTGTCCTGTGTGCTTATCTGGAGATGGAAGGCATTGATCTGAAGGATCGGTCTGTGATCGAGCTGGGAGCTGGAACTGGATTGCTGGGAATAGTGGTCACGTTACTAGGTAAGGGCTCTTTTGTTGTCTCGTTTAAAGCAAATCGCAACTGTAGTAAAACTAGCTATTTTACTTGGACGTGCCTGGTACAGAAGTGAGCACCTAAGCTGCATGCCTGAACTGTGATGGTTCTTCTCTGAGTCATCTTCCTTCCTTGTTAGACTTGAGAGCCTGCTGCGATATTTGTTGTAGTGATGGTGCCACTGCAGTTTATGGCGGGACCCTGTTGAGGCTGACGCCTGTTGCCATGGTAGGCAGCTCAGCAGCATTCAGCTCTGCAGCTATTCCCCCCCAGGGAACAAGAGCTGTGCTTCCCTTCTTCCACTTGTCCTCCCATGCAGATAAAGCTACAGACAGAAACCACTCTCCAGGCTTGCATAAGCCTTTCATTAGTCTGTCTTGCAGACAGGGCATGGAGAAATGAAGTGATTTGCTGTTGATCTGTCTGTAGCTGAAGCAGGAACTGGGTACTGTGTTAAATGTGTGCTATCTTTCCCAGATTAACTTGGTAATTCAAAGCTCTAGTGGCTGTTAAAGGTGCCTATTGAAATCATAGAAACAGTTTGACAAAATACAGTCATGCCATGCAAAATCATACAGGCATAACTTTTGTCTGACCAGTGGAAGAAGCTCTCTAGCTGCCTCTCTCCTACAGAAAAATATGGAATTGGAGTAGGTTAATTGTAACACCCCCTGTAATTTATTCTTTTGTCACATATGGAAGGGCCAAAAGTAACTCCTTGACTTTCATGCATTAAGAAAAAGCACCAGAAAACATGTTTTTTTCCCTACCCAACTTAATCTTCACGTAGAGTACACTTTATATTCTTAAGTGACTGCTGAAGGCTGGGATGTCTGTAGACAGGGGGTTTTGCTTGTTTTGTTTTGTTTGTTTGTTTTTAATCAGGCAGCTCAGGGGAGCTGTTAATGTTTAACAGGAATTAAGGAGCCTGCTGGAGTTAGAGCACTGTATTCCATTTGCTGTCTTGAGGGACATGGACCATAAGTGTGAGCCATGTCCTCCTGTCCTCTTAGGTGCCCGTGTTACCATCACAGACAGGGCAGCAGCACTGGAGTTCCTGGAGTCAAATGTGCAGGCGAACTTACCCCCTGAACTACGTCCCAGAGCGGTGGTGAAGGAGCTGACATGGGGAAAAGACCTGGATAATTTCCCTCCAGGAGCATTTGACTTTGTCCTGGGTGCAGACATCGTTTATCTGGAAGAAACATTTGCAGAACTGCTTCAGACGCTGGAGCACCTGTGCTCAGAGCGAACAGTGATTCTTCTTTCCTGTCGTATCCGCTATGAGCGGGATCTCAAGTTCTTGAAGATGCTGAGAGAGCGTTTCTCTGTATCTGAGGTCCATTATGATTCCAGTAAGGATGTTCATATCTACAAAGCACAGAGGGGTAGTCGCAAGGATGACTTTTGACTCTCTGCTTTGTTAATAAGCCACTGATGCTGTTCAATTCCACCCTTTGTTTCTACTCAATACACTTGTTCCTAAGCATGAAGTTGCAGTTGTGTTATTTCACTGGCTTCTTGTTCTGATGGTCATGTCTGATCACTGGGTCTGATACAGCAGGGACTGTACTTCTGTTCTGAATATTGAACCTCTCCTTCCTTTCTATACGGCTCTTGAATAGAGCCGTATAGGGTGTTCCACCATCTTTTTATCAAATGTAATTTTTGAAACTGATTCAAGTTGCAGAAATCTCCAGCATCAAAATTGTTATATCAAATGTTATATCCAGCATCTGAAATCAAAGCATATTTAACTTCTGGGGGAAACTTATAGAGATTACAGTGGGTTTTTTTCCTTTATCACTTTTGTAACTCTAGGAAAGTAAGAATGGATGAAATAAAAGCTAATGCTCCAGCTCTAAATTCTTTAATTCTTCAGGACTTCTGCATCTTAGAAGTTGTGGTAAAAGAAACCACTTAAAAGGCAAAAAGAACCAAAGGCAGATGCTATGAAGTTGTTCTATTGTTGTCACTGCTGTGTTGAAGAGATACAGTGAAACAAAGAACAAAATCTGTAGGGGGTCTGGAAACAGGGATTGCCAAGTAAGCCAACTTAGAAATCAGTGGTATTTTTATCTGATTAAAATATCAGATCAGCCCTTGACTCTCAAAGTACCGCTAGATAATGTTCTACTTTGTGCCTTTGTTTGTGCTCCCTCTGTCTCTGAGAGCTGTTATTTAGGAAAGGAGGGTGTTCTGTAAAGTCTTTGTAGCAGGGGAAGTACTTACTCTTGCATTACTTGGGACCTTGGGGCAGTGTCTGGGTTTCAGTGTGTTTTCAGTGCACAGTGGTAGTTAAGACAGTTGTAAGTAACAGGTATCATACCTTGAGCTTGTAAAACACATCTGTGTGTTTATCCCACAAGATCTGGGAGTCCAGCTCACACCAGCAGCAGACTTCCTTCTCTTTCTAGTGGTGGAAGAATGAAACTGATGAAAACAAAGGGCTAACAGAAGACAGCTACACCTCTGAATGCAGGAATTGCTTTACTACCATTTTTTTTTTAAATTTGTGTGGATGTGGAACTTTTTTTGCGATAAAAAGCCTCAGCTCAGGCTTCAACGTTGGGCATGTGCATGTATTTGGCACTAGCAACAGCAAACACCTTTGCACAACAAAGCAGCAGCAGCTTTGGGTTATGGACATTTTGGAACTTTTTGTCACTTTTGCTCCCATCCTACTTCCTGGTCGGTGGTCCAGAACTGCTGTGCTGACTGTAATGTGGAAACGACACATTTATCATTAAGGTTTGTGCTTCATCCCTGGCACATTTCTTGCATGTTTGCAGCAAAGTTCCTTGCTTGGCTACGGACCCCGCCTGGGTGTTGCTGCTCTGAAACACTTGCTGTAACAGTATCCTCAGAAGCCACATGGTGTCACTAAAACAGTACTTAGGCAGCTGGCTGGGAATTCGCAGCCTGAAACTGGAGTTGGAGTCAGTTTGAGGGAAGGAAAACAACACCTTTAGTTGAAAACAGATCATGAGATGAGCTCTCATGTGTCAGGCGTAGCTTCTTGTGTCTTATCAGCTGGGTGAGCAGTGTTTGAAAAGAATTATGAGCTCTCCCCCATCTCTCTGGCTCTAGGTTTCCAAGTGTGGCTGTAAGTTCTCACCTCTTCTCTTCCTTTTCCTCCCCACTGGTGTTTCCTGGTCTCCAAGCTCTTCTGGGCTCATGTGTAGCTCAGGCTCCCCTTGGGCTGAGCTGGCAGAAAGCAGTGTGCTGGTACCTGGGCTTGTGAGTGCCCAAGGGAACTTTTTTGTGGGAAAAGCCTGGTGGTGCTGGGCCCTCACAAGAGGCTGGAGCTGGCAGCACTGACAGCCATAGCAGCTTGCACTGTTGCCATAGCAGGAACATGCTAAAAAGCCTGCTTAAATAGCACAGAATAAAGCACAAAGTAAAGGCTGGTGCAGGAACCTGCACACATCTAAGAAGGGGGTTTTGCCCCAGGCCTTGCTTTGACGGTAGAAACAATTTTGTACTTTTAAAACAAATCAGTTTAATTCCATCTCTTTCTAATTAAGTTTTCAGTGTGTCAGATTTCCCATTGCTGCTGTTACAGCCCACAGTCATCCTGCCAGCGCAGGCATGTGCCAGTAGAGACCAGGCTTGGCTTCTCTGGCTGTGCTACTGTTACACAGCAGCCGTAGGCACACCCAAGGGAGTATGTTTGAAGGCTGAAGTGATGCTACTGCCCAGAAACAATTGTGGAGAAAAGCATGAGATGACACTGGCAGCTCAGTTGAGTGCCTTGCCCCTGACCACCAGCTCTTGGTGGTGCCTCCCCAGCTCAGCAAGTGACACCCTCCAAGAGGATACTTGCTCCTCTGACTGCTACTGGGGGGCAGGTGATGTTAGATTTAGACCAGATCCAGAAATACTGCAGTTAGACCACAACCATGTGCATGCCAGTTGTGGTTGCATTTAAAGCTTCAATGTTTAGGGGCAGGCATCGAGAATGTAAGTCAGCTGAAACCCACAGTCCATCCCCCCAGGCAGTGCTGACACCCATGTGCACCAGGCAGTGAGCGCTGCCTTCTGTTGTCCAGGTTGGGCTTCACAAGTTTTCTGTATTCCCATCACACTTACCTTGAGGGAGAGGTCAGGAGTGAGTCAGGCCGTGAGCAGGCGTGCAGGACAAGTAGCAGAGGTGTAACTGCTGGTGAGTGACCACAGGGAGCAGCCCTCTGCAGTGACACCTGCAAACTCAGGTGTCCCAACCCAGGGTCCCACGTGAGCTCCTGCTCTAGTATAAGATGCTGCATGACAACAGCTGTTGCCAGCAGCTGTTTGGCCATCATACTGACACCCTGGCCAAGCACTTTCTGTCACCCTGTTCATCCCAGCACTCATCCCACAGAGAATCCCACTCTCCTTCAGCTGGTTCCATTGCACGATCCTGTTTTCTAACATGATCTGAGCTCATCTGTAGAAGGACATGTTTGGCATGTGTCCCTGAGTAGCAGGGCAATGCACAAGTAAGTTTCTTCAGAAATCCACTTGCTCTAGGGAGTGGGTCCCAGCCACAGGAAAGTGACCACGTAAGACACAACGATGCTGTGATACTGAGGAACCATCCCTGAAACATGCGAAGGAGAACAAGCTTTTCTGAAGTATCATTGCAACCAAGGTAATGTTTGATTGGTATTAAGACAAACAGCTGACTACACAGGGATCTGTGTTACCCAGTCCTTTTCAGTGCAAAGTTTAAGCCAAACTGCATTTTTATCTCAGGGACTAACCCCTCTTTGGGATTCTCTCTCATTACTGTAGATTTTTCTCAGCAAAAACATGAATGGCACTATAAAAACTAGAAAATCCCAGCTCTAATGAGCTGACCTTACTGCTTCCTCTTGATTTCACTGGAGGTGTGTTTACCCCAGTGCTGAGTTTGTTCCCCTGGCTTCCTTCCCTGTGTTTGGATCCAGCCTTGCAGATTACATAATAAGGTTGTGATCCTTGCAGTGTTTGCTGCCTTCTGCTTCTGTTCTGTTCTAAAGACCAGTAGTACACGGTTTACAGGAATGCCTGAAAGTGAGACATGCAGCATATTTAAACTGTGAAAGGCATAAGTGTTTCAAACATTATTAAACAACAGAACTGCCACCAGAATGGATATTGGAAAGCAGGTTTAAAAATATCAGGAGGAAGAGAAACTTTGTTTTTCAGGACTTAACCTCTGACTAATTCAATGATGATAAAAAAGCCTTCTCTTTGGGGAGAATACTTTATGAATACTTAGGACAGGGCACAGATTGAGAGGATACCACAGACTGCTCAATATATGCCTTTTCCCATATTCCTCTAGCTAGCATTTGCCACTAAATTCAATTAGTGTAAATGGAACACCCTGCTCAAAAAAGAGACTTTGTAGAGTTTTTTAAAGCATGTTTATGTGACTGCACATAAATGTTTGTGTAAAAAGGGAGTTATGACAGTTTATACCACAAAGGTTACAGTAAGAAAAAGCACTTCTTTATGACAATAATTCACAAATTCACAAGAATCACTTTAATATACAAAGCAATTACTACCATTCTGAAACACAAAGCAGCTAATATGTACATAGTGTTAATAAAATGCATTATAACCCAGTACATTTTTTAAACACAGATAAAGCACAAAAAAAAAAAAAAAAAAAAAAAAAAAAAAAAAAAAAAAAAAAAAAAAAAAAAAAGAAAATAAGGAGATGAAAAAAAGCATTTATTTTCCCCCAGTGCTGGATTTTTATTTAGTCTTTTAACTTCCACAAGTATGTGGGAGTCAAGCTCAAATACCCTGTTCTGTGCTGACATGGTTTGGGTAAAGAATCAGAAATGCAGATGAGGTGAACATACTCTTTCCAGCTTACACTACACAAAGGAAGAATAATAACCTTCACTCTGGAAGCTTCCCTGAAAAACATTGTTTGAAAACAATTTCAAATGATAAATCCAGAGTAGAAACAACTAATTTCTGAAGTGAACAACCAATTTGTGGACAAAAGTCTGTGGAGGGGTTGGCTGCCAACTAGCACCTCTTCTTGCCCTGTTCAAATCCCAAGAAGTCCATTTTAAGCAGCACAGTTTCAAATCTCATATAAGCTTGAAGTTGTAGAACTTTTTAAAATTAGCATTTTAATATAAATAAATGTAATTAAACACACACAAAATGGAGTGGCACCTGGATAAAAAAACAACTTGTGGAGAGCACCCAAACATCCTTAATTATTAAGAGTGGCCATTTCCAGATCAGCGACTGGCTCAAGGCCTGTCCCCATGCTCTCACTCAGCTATCCCCTAATTTAGAGAAACAAACAGCTGAGGCCGAGTGAACTGCTCGAGTCCTGAGTGCAGTGACTGCTCAGCTTATGGACTGTGCCAGCCATGGCTCACTCCAGCCTGTCCCTGGCCCTTTCCCTGCCAGCACACAGCTCCCAAGGACAGCTGACTGCTCCTGCCTCTCCTGCTGAAAGCGAGCCCTGAACTCACCACAAAGCAAGTCACAAACTTGCACCTGCAGTGCCAGAAAGCAAACAGGTCACTCACTCTCTTCAATTTGTGCCAACCAGCCCAAGCACATCTCTTTGCAGGCCACAGCTCAAATATATTTTAAAACACATTCCAAGGCAAAACACTTGAAATGCAAACCCTCTTTACACCATCTGGATGTGGTCCCTTTTCCCCAAAGATTCACACACTGAAGCCTATCTATCCACAGACCTGAACCTGTCACAAGCACACAGTAGGCAGATTTCAGCACCCTCTCTTCACCAGTTTGGCTCCTTCCAGACCAACTGAACTTCAGGATACATTCAGGCTTTTGTAAAATCAGTGTCTTTTAAGCTAGCAAATCACACAGCTCACAAAAATGAGTTCCCAGGCAGACGACAGGGAACCATCAATGTACTGTATGCTTTTTAAAACCTGCTCACACTGACAGTCTTCAGGGTTAAATTATCATCATTCCTGCAAAAGAAAGGTGGTTGTGCTTTTCTTTTCAAGCAGGGTGACACACTGTTAATGTACCTTTACCTCCTGGTGTCAAATTACTGGAAAGGCTTTTGATTTATTTTCTTAGAATGCAGCTTGTAAAATCTGCAGACAAATCTCAAATTAAGAAAAGGGAAATAAAGTGGCTGAAAAATAGTTTAGCTTTCCTTCCAAATTAACCTCCCTTTCCCACATGGGATCACTGAACTAGTTCTACTCTAAAAATAATTTCACATCCATCCTCTACGTACTGCTCTGAGACACCACACGCTTGATTCTCCAAAGCCTGCTGGGCACCAGGTGCTGATCCGCAAGTTCAATTAGCGAAGGAGTCAACTGCTGGGCAGGAGTGAATTGTGTGCAGGCAGCAGGATCACAACAATTATGCCAGAAATCTTCTCAAGCAAACCAAATTTATCTTAATTTTTTTTTTTGTTCTCTGTGTTTTGTTTGGGTTTTTTTTTTTGGGTTTTTCTTTTTTTTTTTAAAAGTGCACATTTTAATTAAACATTTACAAAGAACATAGTGTAACAAAAATAAATACATGACCTTTTGGTTGGATCATTGGCAAATGTTACATCACTAACCAGGCTCCAGGGTGAAAAAATTACAATAAAATCAAGGTCTTAGAAAATCAATTAAATCCTCTATCAACTGTCATAGATTTAAAACCACTGATACAGAACTTGCTTTGATGTGTGGACTTGTCTTTAAACCACAAAAAGCACTGCCTGCCATAAATGAAAAGACAAAATAAAAAGCATATACCAGTTTTCACTAACAGATGACTACTTGCTGCTGCAGTTTACTGGAAGCCCAGATTTTAAAAAAGTAACCTGTAGTACAAACTTAGGTCAGAAACTATCAGGGCTGTTTTTCCTTATTAAATATTTTTTTTCTTTTTTTTTCCTGAGCCTCTTAATGATTCCAAACACCCCACCAATTTTCTGACCAACGTACATGTACCAGAGAAGACAGTGATCTACAATGCAAATGCCAACTCCAGGCTAGCCAGAACTACAGGTGTCTGAGCAGTCCTGACAAGCACAACAGGTTAAAATTGTGCTTTTGGATACAAGCAACGGTGCCATCAACTACCCAGTGCTGGTGAAATTGCTGCCTAAGGAAGAATGCATCGCCACTACCCCAGGAGGAAAACAGAAGTCTTACCAGTGGTTCCTTTAGAAAATAACATCTTAACAACCTTTCCAAATGTTTTGCCTTTGATATATAGCTGCCAAAGAGAAAAAGCACAAAGGTGAATTACTCTGGGTGGTGGTGGTTGTAAAACAACTGTTTACATAATTTCAAAAATCTTCATCAATAAAAAACAAACTTCACAAAAGCCATGAAAGATGAAATAAAATTCTTGAAAATGGATAACTGAGAGACAGCACAAAACAAATCAATAATAAGCGCTAGAATAACGCAGCCCAGAGCTACTGGGGTAAAGGGAAGCTTTCACACACACACACACCCACACACCCACACACACACACACATCCACACATACCCAGACACACAGAAAAGTAAAAATTCTTTTTCTGACCTCCATATACTATAATACTCAGCATTCCTGACTTAAAAGCTCTCAGAGCTGTAGATTATATACTGTGTGTATATATATATATATGTACATATATTATACATATGTATTTTCCAAGAATATCTAAATTAAAAGAGCACCTTTGACAATATCTTAACTGCCTGATTGGTGCTGTTGTTTTGCAAAATAATGACATTACAAAAATTATATTTCAAACCAATTCTTGTTTATTATGAACATAACGGATCTAGCCCTTTCTAACCCTCTCTTCAGGTAAAACAGTCTATCAGTTCTTGAAAACTCACAACCGTGAGATATAAAACTAATCCTCCCTCCCCCTTGTCAGCATAATTCCATCCTACTTCCAAATGGCCTTAGTTTATAGAAGCTTATTACCCCAACCTCACTTCTTGGTAAATAACATAGGAATGGATTCCTGTGTCACATTCTTTCCCTTTTTGGGTCAATATGAATAGTAAAGCATGTATGGGTAGCCTAGCCAGCCCTGTACTTGGTCTAATACATTTTTTATTATTGTAATCTATAATTTTCATTAAATAAATTTGTGTCCCTAAATCCTCAGTGCAGCATAAATAAAAATAAAGATTCTTGCAGACCCCTATGTACTTTGAATTACATTCCTTTTCTTAGTAAAACGTTATTTGCTAATGAAGTCTAGGCTAAAACCACTACAGGCCACTTGCAGACCACACACAGACAAACAGGTAACACAGTTCTCCTCTCACTGCCACACAAATTTGCAGAAACCGTGTACTAGGAGAACCCCACCTGGGCACTGCTTTAGGCTCCCATGCCCATTCAGCCCCCAGGCTTTCTGCCCAGTGATTATCAGCAAGCTCTGGACAGTGTTCATTACCCACTAGACACAGCTCTCAGCACCCAGCTCGCCTTGCCCAGGTTCACAGCAAAACCTCACGTTTTTGCAAACAGATGTTCTACAAAAGAAACAGCCTTAATGTGGGCATATACAGCCTTTCTTGTGCTTCTCAAAGCTGGAGGAACCATTCCATGTAATTGCAAATGAGGCCACCATGAGCTTCATGTTTTACAAGAATGATTCCTGTATTATCAACATTTCTACTTCAGTACTCGTTCTGGAAAATGTAACCGTTTTATGCATTTGTGTTCACTGATTTTAAGAATCAGAAATTTTTTATAAAAGCACTGCTGAGAACTTAGGGTCTTCTTTAAATCTGCATTGCTAAACTAATAGATTCATCTCCCATTAAATAAAACCACAAAAATCAACTCTCTATGGCAGATAAAAATAGACCATTTATAAACACCCACAAAACTTGTGAAAGTGAATTATTTAATATTTCTGATACTTATGTTCTCTTCTTGAAATACGAGTGTAATTTGAATTTCTTGATAACTTTAGATTTAATGAGAATTCTGTAAGTTTAACCCTGCTCCTTTTAAATTAAGTCTCTTGGAAACTGAATGCCCTCTCAAATGAGAAATCTAGAACTTTTAATACTGCTTAGGTGTTTGAGACTCAACTACCCAGTATTTTTCTTATAACGTCACACTGACTGTATAACCTTTTAGAAGCTAATGTATGAAATTTATCTTAAAAAGAGATAGAGTGAATGGGAAAAAATATTAGCTAATACTCTGCTAGGCAAGGCATTAGTATAGACCAGAGCCTTATCCATGTGTTTCTAGACATAAAAGTTTGACCAAAAGCCCAAAGTAAACTTCTTCCATCAAATGACCCAAGTTAACACAATGAGAGAGACTGGCTTCAAGAGGGCCAGTACACAAACCGTCCATGATTCTTTTGGACACATTCTTTTGGACAACTTCTTGATGTTCTTTTTTGGTTCCTTTTGAGCATGATTATTTTGAAGTCCAAATGCTTAGTACAGAGGTTTTTTTTAAATATTAACTACCTTTTTTAACACCATAAATATGGGAAAGATCACAGTTCCTCAGTGCACAGAAAAAAAAAAATTGATCTTGCAAACTGATCTGAGGCACATGTGTAATTTTAGTTGCAGGAATAGGTTACTCAGTAAATTTGACCCTTTCCATGAAAAAATACCCCAAATAAATTAAGAGTTTAGCTAACCTGGCCAGGCTCAAATAATCAGTATTGTTCCTTGCAAAGCACAAGTTGGAATATCTATCTGTGTTTGAAGTCCTCTTTAATATTTGAGGTTGTCCTAGTAGTTGTCATACTGTAAATTAATTTATGTATAGAAGGTAGCCTCAAAGTTCAAAAAAGAATTTAGCAAACCAGGCTGATATTTCTATTGAGTACAATAATTTCCATTGCATAAGTCAGTGGCAGGGAAATAAAAACAACCTCATTGCGTGAGAGGACTTGGGACACAGACCATACTGTCGTCAGGGAGTCCTTAAGTGGAGTTGGCCATGCTTCAACTGCTTAGTTGTTCTGCATACAAATAGGTAGTGCTTTCATGTGTTACCCCTGTTTACTATGTGACTGTTTTCAGAACATCACGATTGCATCTTTTTAAAACAATTTTCTTTCCCATCCAAATATCATTTCCCAACCTATATCCTATGAATTTGGTGTCTGTTTTCTGTGCGTTCAGAATGCTGAAAGCACTTGCACACATAAACTATGAGTAGCAACAACTGACCAGTGAAGCTCATCTCAATGCATTTGTTTCTGAGGTATGGAGAGGGTTTTACTAGTCCAGGAGGGCTTAATACAGACTGCAAATCAAACCCCCTCCTGGGCTAGTCTGAAAAAGGTCTGTTATCTCCACACCAAGAACAGGACAGTGAAGTGCCCTTCGTCTGGCATGCTGCTCAGCTGTGTATTTGTGCAGTTCAGCATGAACGTGTGAAACCAATTTGGCAACCATTGCTTCTTCATTGTACCATGCATGCTCCACCTATGCGGCCCACAGTTCTCTGGACCAAGAGGCTGGGGTGGTTCTGTCTCTAAGGCAATGGAAAGAGCTCAGCACGAATTCTTGACATCTTTACAAAAGGACCCTCCCCACAGTAACTTCCCAAGTGACCACTGTTACTCCTTGAAGAGGATCGGGAGACGAGAAAGAAGCCTGTTCTTCTTCACGCTGAGATTGATGATGAAATTCATCTTGTAAGGGGAGAAGTGGAGGCAAGTACTTGAACATTCACAGTTTGATGCAAAGCACAAATGAAGTATATTCTGTAGTTGCTTCAGGCAGTTTTGCGCATAGAAAAAAAGAAATGTTTAGAAAATAAAAAGTTTACTTTGTCTTTCTGGGTATAGCCAGAACCAGTCTCTATCCCACCTGGACAAGTGAAAATGAGAATCCAAAATTAATCTGATTTGTGGCAGTAAAGGTCCTTAAGTGCTTTCAACTCCTCAATCAGTGTCTTGTTTTGGTTTTCAAGCACAGCCACTCGATTTTCTAGACATTTCACATACTCCTTTTTCTTCCTGCGACATTCACGTGCTGCCTCTCTGCAAAGCAAAAAAAGCCATTCAAATCCAGAACAATCATTTGCAGACATGGGCTACCTAACTGCATTCAGGCAAACCTTCACTAGTACTGCCATTTTCAGAATATGGAGGCATTGTTAAGAAATGCAAGTGAGGAAAAAACACCAAGTTCATAACACCTGCTCCTCACAAATCTCACACACACTTAAGATCCATGTATCATTTCAACATGCGGATCCCAGTAAGAAAGGACCAATAAATTATTTCTGTGAGCAAAGGATCCTACTCAGTGATAAAATTTTGCTTGCAGGATTTACATTGGAGCCTTTAGGCTGAGTCAAATGCTGCTGCAATACTTTGACTTTATTATCATCTATTATTTTTTTTACAGTTTTAACTTTTCCCTTTGCTGCAGTCCAACAAGATGATCAACTGGTGTAAAAAGTACTGTATTTAGAGCACTCGTGCATTTGCTCTTGAGCAATTCTTTCATTTTAATAATGATGTCTGCATCACTGCAATGATAATATTAATGTTTGAAATAAAAGCAAAAAATAAAAATATCATGAAATTAACAGTAGAAACCATGTAGTTCTTTAGTCCCTGTCAGCTAAGCCAAAAACAGACCTCAAGATAGTCAAACTTCTTAGTCTTTCTTGTAAAGAGTGAGCTGCCTGTAGATAACTTGGTTACATACCAAGAACACCAGTGAAAAGTACCAGAAGGTATTAATGTGCTGCTGAGCATCCTGAAGGCAGGAACACCAAGGCAGGAACTACCCTGCACAGCAATATAATGGCACCAACGTGCAAAGTAAGCACAAGGCTAAATGCCACGGGCAGATGGGAGCTCAGGCAGAGGGATCTCCTCCTGCAGTGCAACTTGTCCAAGCAGCACTCTGCAGACACATGGAAATAAACACTTATTTGCCCTGAACCTTTAGGTGCAAAGCAGAACAGCTTCAAAAACAAGAGTCTGTGTGCCCCTTCATTGCAAACCCTACACAGACTGATGAGACAGACAGTGTTCTGGGAAATGAGAGGAGAAATCAGAACCCCTTACTCCCCTTACTAGGTAAATAGTAGCTGTAAAAACAGAATGCATTCCAGGACCTAACTGATAAGAAGCCTCTAAGGTAGTTTTTGAAATTCAGCTCCACAAATGAGACAGGATGAAGGAAACATAGCCTGTAAGCCCTGAAGGGACTCAGGTATTCATCTGTCACTCCCACAAATACAATTTCACATGCTTGCAGTGCTTCAGTAAACCATGTGTAACATTCAGAATTTAAGTAATTTTGGGCTGTTACCAAAAGATTAAGTACTAGTGGATCAGGAAGTGCCTCCCAGTACAAACTACTAACATGATTCCTTGGGTGATAACATTTTCTTTCCGTGATTTTTTTCCAGCTTAGGCTGTGTATATTAAGAAACCCCAAGTCTGTGTGTGCTAGTTGTTCATTATGAACAGACAGAGTTCTACTGAATTACAACAGAGCTTTAAAAACGTAAAATTTATACAGAAAATTTGCACAATAATATCTATGAATATTTACACTATAATCCTGCAGTAAGTGCCACCTTACCATCTGCCTCTCTATCCTTTTCCCCCACTTTGCTATGGAGCTTAGATTTGCAAATATCTATTAAGCAGACAGGCTAAAAGCACCCCATGCAACATGATACTGTTGCAAAAGCTGTCAATTTAACTCAAGTGGGGTAATTCCCCATTGTTTTCACAAACACTAAAGCTTTCTTTCACTGGAATAAGACTGATGACTAAATGAGGGTATTCTGTGATTCTAACTAATTTTTTTTTCAAATGCAGAGCCTGAAAGGGTTATATCTACTATTCACTGGTATGAGAAAACTATATGAAAAGGGAGATGGATGACATTCTGTACAAAAACCTTTTTAAAAAAGTGAACTCTGCTGTTCATCATTATTTACTTCATTAAAGGCCCTCGTATAAGCTCTGTGTCTGCTAAGTAAGTTTCTATTGTGTTCACAGCACAGCAACCTACAGACAATAAATGAACCTGTACAACATCAGTTTTTTTCAGACTGACAGATGAAGTTAACAAGGCTTTCAGGGGGCTTCCTCTGCTCAGAAGGGCCAGGCGCACTGGGTTCTCAGTGTCACAGTTTAACACACAGGCTCCAATCCGTGGCCCGTGGGTAAGAGTTCAAGCTTGGTGTGATGGGCTAATTCAAGCCTGCCCCTTCCCACTCCCACAGCAACAGGCTTCATGAGTATCAACTGCTCAGCTTCTCCCTACTGCTCCCTTCCTTTGCTACCTCCACCCACTCCCACCCCTAAGCTTAGCTGTTCCTCCTCACACACTGAATCCTACAGGATCAAGTCTTTACCTTTCTTTTAGCCCCTCTGCTGCCACTACTGGCTCCACAGGACTTCAATTAAAACGAATAGCTGCTCATTTAGCCTTTGCTTGAACCTTTCTGCCCCTGGAGGAGAAAACCCAAAGCAGCTAAAAGAACAAGTGAGACAATCAATAAAGTACTCAGGAAGAGCACATGTGGGCCAGCAGCAAGGAGAGTGCATGCAGAAGGCTAAGGGAAAGAATTCAGGAAAAGTTAAACCACATGAATTTAACTCCTAAAAAGCAACTCATCTTGGTGTTTATAAGAACATATCTGTAGTCATAAAAGAATCTCACCAACTACTTTTCTCCTTACTGCAACAATGAAATTCACAAACCTCACAGAATGAGTCTGACACTTTACTCAAGGTTTCAGGTGCAACACACAGCACTAGTAGATGTGCATTTTTGCTCTGCATCTTTAAATAAAGGCAAATTCTTCATAAAGCATTTCATAACGCAACTAGGAAAGATCAGGACTCCTAGTACTTGACACACTAGGCCTATGCAGAGCTGACTGGGAAAAAAAAAAGTGATCTGAGTGTACGTGCCTGTTCTTCATTAGACGCACTTCTCTCTTCCGTGCAGCCTCTTCTGCCGGCTGGGTCGGAAGTGCTGGGGAGGATGCCATGACTACTCCTGGTGCAATGGTGCTGGTCGGGGCGGTGCGGATCTGGTAGGTCTGCACATCTCCTGAGGCAGCTGCAGGGACATATATGACATCAGTCTGGTGACAGTGCTGTCACACGTGCTATGGAGAGCATCTACTCATCTCTAAGCTGTCATGTCTCTAACCCAGTCACCTCTCTGACCCAGTCACCTCTCTAACCGTGTACCTTGGGCCACAGCTCAGGAGGGATTGCCATCATCTGGGTCATCACTGCTACCTTAGGCTTAGTCTGTTAATACATGCAAGGTTTTGGGCATTCCTCCTGGAGAAGTCTTCACTTGTGCTTGATAAATTGATTTGTCTTGTGGTATAGCTGTGCTTCTTTCTCCCTTATTGTATTTCTTTGTACTTCTCTGGTTTTCGGGCAGTTCTAGCATTTCTAGAGAACGACGGTGTCACTATTTCTAGTTATGCTCCAAATGTCTGCCTGGAAAAGGAGGAACTGCACATGTAGGTATCTAGCATAGAAAAAAAAGGTGTAAAAATGTAGCATTTACTCCCACAGGAGATGGACAGTGCACTCTACTGCCTCTCCAGAATGAGTAAGGTCTTGGCTTTCTTTTATTTCACACACTTAGGAGAGTGTTAATTTTGCCTGAGCTTATAAAAAACCACAATACTACCTAAAGAAATCATATGTCCTTAAGAACATAAAAACCCAAAGATCAATGCAACAATAGTACTCTTCTCTGCTATGCATACCCGGTAAACTCTTCACTGGATAACTTTCAAATCAACTACTTAACAGCCATAGAAGGAGGGGTACACTTCTGTTATTTTCAATAAAAATTCTGTAACGCTCCTCAATTTTTAATTAACCAAAATATGTATGTTGACACAATAGTTCCCCACAACTTATTCTATGCAAAAGTAACTCTGCCAAGTTGAGGGCTAGACCAAATGATCACTTAAGGTACTCTCCTAATTGCTCTGATTCCAAGACTCACCGATTGAGAGTCACTCAGTGACTAGCTACAAAAGTCACAGTAGGAAGAAATTATGACTTGCAATTGAAAAAGGGGAGAAAGTGCTAATAAATTAAAAAGTGCCCCTTTAGAAAGAATCAAATATCCTTCTATCTTTAATGCTTGCTTTAAATTTCTTATTGTTGCACATATGAGAGAACTCAAAAAGCAAAAATGCAACATGAAAAAGCAAAAATAAATATATTAAACCTCAAATATCCACAGTTCTACCAATCTAAAGGGAAAGGTTTCAAGAAAATATGACGAACAGCTTTGTCCAGAACTTCAGTGATTTTATGGACTTATGTGTGCCAAAGCTGTTAATTCTGTTTCCTGACACATTTGAAGGGGTCAACTTACATCAGCATAGAGAAAATGTTACACAGAATGACTGGCTGTGAAGTTTCTCACCTTGTACGACAACTTGGTTGCTGGGTACAAGTATCTGCTGTCCATCTGTGGTCTGTGCATATTGTAAAATGGTGGTGCCAGGTTGAGTTGCAGCTGCATTGGTCATTGTCAATGTCTGGAGACCTTGTACTCCATCTGTGCCATTGTTAGACAACTGTATTGCTCCTCCCTGGGTGATGGCAACTGCAGACAGAAAAAATGAACCCAGCATTTAAGACACTAATTCACTCATTAACTTACAGTATTAAACCTAATTATGGAAGAATATTAATCTAAGCTAAATCCTTTGAACCCTTACATACCCCTAAATTAAACCCATGGCTTCAATGTACATGAAAGAAATCATCCTTTGAAAGGTAAGTTTTCAAATGTTTGGGAGGGCCAAAACCCACAGCCTGAAATACAAATCAGTTTCTCTAATAAAACAGAATCACACAGAATAGCTACAATCCACCCCCAAGGAATACTTTTTAATTTGTTAAGATTTTCTGCTTGGTTGGTTTAGGTATTTTTCTCAGTCCTTACTTTTTCTTCTCATCTGAAATTCCTCTCATCTTCTGTGCTTTATGCCCTTCAGTTTCCTCTGCTGCTAGTGCTATCCATCTTGTTTTTCACTTTCTTCTTGATCTGGCGCTTTTTTTTCTTCTTCTGATTGTGTCCCCCCTTCACTACAACTTCCTCAGACCCTTCCTAGCTGTTTTTTCATTCATAAAAGTACAGCTTGGTTCAGGCAGTCTTAACTTTGCTGGATTTTCTCCTTTCTTTCTCTCAATCCTGTCATGCAGGCATACTGGGACATTGCCCCTTTTGTGACTCATGGAATTTCACTGTGTTCCTATATGCAGACACACCAAAATCTCAAGTGTCTGCAGTTGACACACAGTTATTTTACAGTTATAATAGGAATCAGAATTAACCACATCCGCTTCAATAACATTAAGCAGGGTACAAGGCAAAGGGATAAGGAGTAAACAGAGATACAAAATTTTAAAGAGATTTTAAGAGACAGATGTAAACATGTAGCTCTTTCTCCCTTTTGTATGTGTTGTATGTCTCCTACTGTATGTGTTAGTGTGAGACAGCATGGGTCTTATCTTTACTGCCATATCCCCAGTCATTCTTCAAGCCAAAACACTGTATCTATAAAATCTAACAAATAAAGGAAACACAAATATATATTTATGACATATATTAAGGTTGTTGATGTCCTTATTTTTTCAGGACTTTCTGAAAATGTAATTGCAGACTGTAACAGTTTTTTCTAATGATGAAGTTACAGTTTGTGAACAAGTGTTAATGATCTGCCAAGGAAAAAAAGAAACTTCTGAATTCCCCCATCTAGTTCCTGAAGTGAAGAAGTATATAATAGCATTATGGCTAGTTCCTGTTTTGTCCCAGGATGCATTAGCTGCACCAAGTGGAAGGCAGTCCCAGAATGTTAATCAAGCCTTTCAAACACTTACAATAGAAATGTGTTTAAAAGGCCTGGTTAACAGTCAAAATAAAGAAATCTTTTTTTCACCTCCTGCTTTGTCCTAGTCCAAACAACAGTTAAAGAAATAATAGTTCTTCATCTTCTCATCCCCACTTACTAGCACCACTGAGAAATTCAGACTACATACTGTACTGCCCACTGCTGGTTTGGTAAATGGGAGTTGGCACCGTAACAGTGGCGATGGCAGGTGCTGCTGTTTCCTCTTCAGACTTTTCTTCTTCGATCCTTGGCACTCCTGGGGCGTCTGAGGACAAGTCATTCAAAATTTTTCTGGCAAAGACAGTGTGTTGTAGAGATTTTAATAAAAATTGGGGGAGAAAAATAGTCTGATACACAGTGCTGGGGGAAACTGTGAAGTGCAGCAAGCCAACAAGGAAAATATGAGTGGAGAATGAAAACCACACACTATCTTCAAACTCTTATTGGAGAGGACTGTGCAAAATGCCAAGCACTGATGGGCAAGGGAGCCAGCATAGAACAGCTGTGCTTGTCAAAACCCACTATATAGATATTACAACCTTCCCTTTTTCCTCAGAGCATGTTTCTCTCATCCATTTTTATTTGTTTCCTGCTTTTAGCTATATAAACATTTGAAAAAAAGTCAGAACCTGTCTCCTCACTTACACTGGGAGAACTGCTCCATTTCAAAGACTATAAACACCTCAGCCAGAGAGCTGAGTACCAAGGGAGTTAGCAGGAATGCTTGCAGAGAGCCAGCAGTTCATAATTTAACACCTGCCTGGGAGACAATACCCAGTGTTTGAGAACAGTCTCGCAGTTATGTTCACAGGTGCCCTGCCTGAGAAAGTTCATGGGTAAAGAACAGATTGTTTCATTATTTCTATGAACTAATTATCCAAAGTCAAAACTTCTAAAACATCACTGCTACAGGTGCCACTCAACATGACAGTGGACTGACCACAGCAGTCATTGCAATTTGCATCACTGACATCAAACGCTGTCCATCCTCAGAGGACTGCCAAGCCCTTTTCGCTGCTGGCACATTCTATTATGTCACTGCAAAATGCAGTAAATGCCCTTGGGTAAATGTAATGCTCTTAGGTGAAAGGCAATATTTTTTGTAATTCTCCTTCTTTGTTTTCCAGTGGATTGGCACAGGAACTCAATGGAATGAAGTGAACAGAGCTGTAGACCCCAAGCTGCAAGACAACACTACTTTCTTATACAAGCCTCCTAAGGCTGTGGGAGCCAGAACACTTGTATGAAGCTATGTGGGGAGAGCAGTCATCCTGCTTAGCAGCTTGACCAGAAGAGCTTTGCTGTTGCTGTTTTGACTTTGTGTGCATGCAAGAAACCCCCAGCACTGCGCAACACTGTGCGAAAAATCACCTGGACAAATAAAAAAATCCCATACAAAGAGTTTGCAATCTACGTGTTAGACCAGAAACTAGTGAATGAAACAGATGAAAAAATATGGAGAAAGCAGGGATGATGAAGCACAAAATCCAAGGAAATAAAAAATCACCTTTTAACCTCCAGTCATTATGACACAGTGGTTAAAACGATGGATTTAAGGTAAAGGATAAGACGGCAGCTTTACAAATGTAGGAGCTATGAACTGACATGGAATACATGAGGTACTTTAGTAGCAGAATCACAGAGAAGTTTTTGTGGAAGAGGTATAGCTTTCAATTCTGTGAACATATCTGCACCTATCTTGTATCTGGGGCCAGTTACAGCAGGTTGAATAATGCCAGCTGGGAAGTCACTGAAGACAGCAGTGATCTGGCAAAGCCTTTCTGACCTAACCAACACCAGCTCAGAGTCTGAGCTTCATACAGAAGTTTTGCATCTACCAAGTGTTGCTGTGTCACCACAATTTGGACTGAAGACAGAGGCTGTGTTGTGCCACCAGTGTGTGCAAAGGAGTTCATCTCTGGAGAAGCCAGCATGCACAAGCACACTCTTCTCAGTTTTGCTGCTTGTTTACTTAGGTCTGTTTTCCCACCATATACAGCCACTCTTCCATATATAGTAAAATCAAGTGTCTTGCTGCAGAAGCAGACTAAAGGGAACCTGTGGCAGCCTTGAAGTTAGCACTACTCCTTGCAAATGAAAATATTTTCCCTTAAGATCTATTATGGCTAGGGATCTTCAGCAATGATTTTCACTATTTTGGGCAGAACAGCCTTGAAGGCTGCTGGACAAGGCAGACAATAATCTCCCAAGTGCTAAAAAAGTATCATGGTTGAGATATGCTCAGGCCTACAGCCCAGCTTCTATTTCCAAGGCTATGCTCATAAAGGAAAAAGGTGCATCTGAATTTTCTAAAGCAGAAGGAACTCAGAGGTCACTTAAAATCTCCTGAACGCCTGAAGAGCTATTCCTTATGGCTATTTGGCATATTTTAAGAATGAAAGTGAGATTTAGTACAGACACAAAAAGCTGTACAAAGGCTTAGTTAATAAAGTAACATGACACACCATGTGAAGGAGAACCTCAGCTGGTTTTGCCAGAGGTACTTGCTATGAGAAAAAGAGACACTAGATGCTTTTCACTCTATTCAACTCATACTTAAAACACGCTTTCATGAACATTAAGCACAAACTATTTTGCTCAAGCAGAAATTCCCTCTGAGCTATGAGACTTAACTTCCTTAGGTCTTCCTTAGGTCTCATGGGAGAAAGGAATTAAGTTTGATTGCTGCTAGCATTTCAACAATAATGAAAACCAGTAGTTGATTTTTTGCAGACTGCAGATTACACAGAAGTTGCTTTTTGCAAAGCTTCAGTGTATTTTGTGTATTAAGTATTCATTAAAGCTATTTCTAAGGCATCTATCACAATGATACCTCAATTCTGTGAAATGTGGCAATTAGCATATTCTCAGATCACTTCTGTCTTTAGTGAGTACAACTGCTGAGGTTTCTTCTTCCTCCTATTTGCTTATCTCTTTACATCCTATTCCATGGACACATTCCATATTCCAATGCCAAGACTTCACAGAAGAGAGATATCAGTTAAATGGTAAAGATAAAAATAATAAAAATATAACCCCACTGTTTGTATCTCCATGTGAATGCACCAATCCCTTAAGCAAGATGCTTCTGCTTTAACCTCCATACCTGTAGGAGGGTCGTCTGGACAGAATTTCTCTTCGTTTCTGTGAGTCTGTGACACTGTCTACTGATTCCTGGGAATCTTCACTTTCTGCTATAGTGGAGATCTGTAAATAAGAACAGCAATCAAATTTAGCAAGACACTTCCAATGCCTTTATTTTAAGGAAAGGTTGACATCCTGTGAAAAACACCACACTGCAAGTACTCTATCTAGACAATGAACAGAAAGTTACTGCTTAATAATAGATCCAGTAAAAAATGACCACAGTCAGTGATCTGCCCATCAGAATGTTCTTTATAATTTAAATACCCCAAAAAGAAAACATAAAAGTTAACACCATGCGGTTTTTGCCACCCATAACGTTTTGTTTTCAACCGTTGCATGGAAAGAAAGATTTTTTTAGTTAAACTTACAGCGAGAATAACTAAACCAAATTAAGGTAGCAGAAACGTTTGGAAACAAAGAATAAAATACTGAAAAAATATGAGTTTATAAATAATGAAGTAGATATGCTAAAGAGAGACTGCCTTTTACGGGGGAAATTGCCAGGAAAATGTCATAAATGAAGATATTAAAAAATAACATAGCACTGCAATTCTGAATATCTGTGCTAAAAAAAGCAATATGTTTAGGCAGGAAAGCTAAAGTAAAAAAAAAAAAAATTAAAATAATTTAGATAATTTTAAATTAAAAATGTGCATGACCAAATCTATAAAAGCTAATTATGCTTATGTGAGAAACAGAGCTCACATACTGATAATTTGTGCACTGTAGAGAAGGTTCCTAAAGGCTCAAAAATCTCGCTGGCACCCACATCTCACAACTGTCAGATAGAGGGCCTGAATATGTCCAAGGCTGACTGTGAACTACTGGGCTCTGAATATCAAAACACAATAGATCTGCATTGAAGCAGGTGAATTCCAAGTATGGCTTCATTGTCAATCTCTTATCTTCTACCTCCAGGGCAGCAACTTGTGCACATGTATCAAAACTGCTCACCTCTGATAAATTAAAACTCTAAACTCTAAAACTGCAATGGCTGAGGATGGTAGAGCCTGGCACAAACCCAGTACTGAAGCTGAGAAGGAAAAAATAAAGATTATTATCAGAATGGCCTAGTTTTAAAATATGCATACCTGATTTTTTAAAATAATATCCAGTTGAATATCTGTATCAAAAAGTCATAGTACCTACTTTTTGAAAGTAAACTTTTTTTGAGCTTATTGTTCTAACCAGCAAATGAATAATGTACAGTCCTTGTCCTGTGTAGCTGCTGTACACCAAAAAAATTCTGCATTTAGTAACACTGAACTTCAAGTGAATAAAAAGCAAGTTAGAGGTTTTAAAGATTTCAGACTACTTGTCTCCTTTATCTTCAGGCTACCTCACCATATTGCACTACCTGTCTTGCTTTACAGAAATGAAAATGCTAAGGCTTTACAAAGCACACAACACTCAACCAGCACATTTTAAAACCATTAAGGACTGATGGGTTTATTTTAAGAACCAGTACCATACAGAGACCAATGGAAAGCAATTTTTCTTCTTATGGAGCAAAGACTCTCATTCTAGAATACGGGCCTCATTAATTATTAAAAATTACATTATTTTAAAAAAATTCATCCTTTTGTTAGCTTCAGAATAGTACGAACTCTTACTCAATAAAAATGTATGGAAACACAGTAGAGAGAAAATGTAGAGTAACACTGTAAGAAAAACCATAAAGCTGTTAAACTCACCAAACAAACTCTAGAGGGAAATGAAACTCAGCCATGTTTGAAAATGAAAAGTGGTTAAGCCAGAACAGAAAACAGTCAGAGTAGCAAATACTGTACAGAGTTGCAAAAACACAATCCAGGACACATATACATTAAAACCAGTGCAATGACAGGCCTATTTCAAAGGCCCAATTCACATATTAGGAATTTCTTCAGTCAGTACCTGAACTGTCTGGACCTGTGGAGACTGAATAACTGATGGCTGGGCAGCCTGAATTACTCCATGCACTTGAACCGTCTGCCCATTGGGCAGCTGAACTAAGGTCACCGTGGGTGCAGAAGATGTTGCGTGAGCTGCTGGCATAGATACCTGCAAAGAAGAGACAGTGAGCATAAATTAGGTTATTGCAAAAGCTCCTTAGCTCAGTATTTGTTTTGGTGAAAGAACTATGTCTCTTCTAGACCCCAGTCAGATGACCCAAATGTTTCAGTGTAATATAAAACCACCTGAACTGCCTGAGCCCAATAGCTGACCTACTTCACAAAATAATCTAATGCAGAATTTCTGCAGGCTCAAACATAATTTGTAAAATCACTGACAAGAATAAGAAAAACACAAGTGCCTCTATTTTGAGGTAACCTGATACAAACACATCATTACCTTTTACTTCACTTAGATATTGCTCAGACTCAAGTGTACTCCTACAGACACTGCTGAGTCAGAGGCAGAAACATATGGGAGTGGAGCTATTTTTGTTCTCACTCAGAAAAATGCAAAGAGTTTGCCAGATGTAAGAACTTAACATTTTTAGGGAATCATACCTTTCACTTTCTACAGATTAAGCCATATGAGTAGCTAGCAAAATGCATGTAAATGAAGAAAACTGACCATGTGTTCAGATAGAAAAACCCCATGAGTTTGCAGTGGAACTAAGTATTTTGTAGGCAGTTGTGATTATTGTGTAACAGGTTAAAGTAAATCTAGTTTCAAGAGTTATTTCTATGAGGAAAAACTACCCATGTTTTAAACCCAACCGTGTTTCTCCAGCACAGACCTGCATGGAATGGCAGCTATGCCAACAGGGATACACTGCTGACCCCAGCATGACACATTATGGCTCGGGCTTCGGGGACAGCAGTAGCCGCACAAAGCTGTTCACACCGCACGGGGCTGTCTCACCCTGGCAGGCCACAGGAACTACTCTGGGTGTCTGAAGTGCCATGTACCAAGGATGCTCCACGGCTGGGCCAATGCCCAGTGCACATGCAGAACTCCCAACTGCCTGCTGACACGATGCCTGTGTGGGGCTGGTGCTCCTGGAAGGCTGCAGTGTGCCAGGGCTGCGGTGCCAGCACACCCTGCCCTCAGCGTGCATCCCTCCCACACGTCATGGTCCTCAGGGAAGGACTGCAGGCAAGCGTGAGCTGCTCTGGCAGACCTCAGCCAGGTCATGGGTCACTGACTCACCAACTTTCTTCTAGTCACCCAAGTCTGGAAAACCGAACAATCCTCCAGGGTTCAACAGTGTTTTAAAAAAAATCGATCCACATAGCTGCAGTGCAAGCGAGCGCTGCACTGCTGTCCTACCTCATCTCAAAGGGCTGCTATGTACTGGATGCAGAAGGAAATCCTCTGCTGTCCCTGTGAACACGTGGTTCTCAAAAAGCTGCAATAGCTGATCTCTGAATTTCCATTAACATCCACCACTTAAAATGAAATCTTGCTTAACAACAAAATTAAAGGGAATTACACGTAGACCTCTCTCCTCCACAGCTGTCTCTCCCTAATCCACCAATTTGCTTTTGCTTTTACCTTCCTTTTTCAGGAAAGCAGCTGCAGCATTACATGGTGCTACTTAACTGACATCTGAGAGAAACTGGGGCCAAAATTAACGAGAGCACTTTCCTCTGGCAAATTATATTTCTTTACCAAGCGACCTTTCTTAATAATGCATGTCTGACTAAACAGTCCTTGGCAATGACAGCAAAGCTGATCAACTGGAAGCCACTGTGGTTGGATTAAGCCCACAGCAGAGTGTAACTTCCGCACATGTCTCTGACTCATACCTTGTGGAACTGGGACGAGTTTCCTTTTGACTCTGAAAACTACCCTGAACTCACTTAAAACACAGCAATTAAACTAAGCTTGCAAGAGGGGTGACCTTACAAGAGATAATACAAGAGATAGTGGAAGAATTAAACTGTTATAATTAGTTATTTAGATTTGGCTAGGCCTCTGAGGGCACTCCCTAATGCCAAACACTGCCGCTTCACTTATTAAAAATATCATAGTAACATAACACTGATGTGAACAACACGAGGAATTATGTTTAGACTGTTTTATCACCTCCACAAACTCTGTACAGGCTGGGGAAAAACCAAGGTGTAAATTATATAGTGAATGACAACATGGTGGTTCACATGGATTTTAACCATACCTGTATAGTGTTTTCTTACGTGGAAAAAAGTCTCATTCAAGTACTGGGATAATTATATCCAAGTAAAGTGCATTTTACCCACTACATACTTGTAAGTTCAGCTCCCTAAAGGTTAGCATGTTAGCATATAAATGTAAAACATTCTTGGTTCTCTGGACTAAACCTTAAAGCACATCAAGTGAGCAGCAGTTAACTGGTTTTGCAAGAGAAATAAACTACTTCCACTCAGTTCACATTGAAGTGCTATTCACACCACCTACATCCTGTGCCTAAGTTAGACAGTGAGAAAACTGCCCAAAGAGGCAAGCTGGTGCAGGGCAGCTGGTGGCTTGTAAATTCACACTACAGCTTCACCCAACAAAATCGCCCTGTGCATTTAAACAGCTCCAATCCCTGCACTATCACTTGAATGGAAGTGTATGGACTACAGAGGGCAGGACTTGTTTGGAAGTTTGCATTGCACCAAAAGGTGCAATGACTTTAAAAACATTTATAAAATGTTAAGTGATTTAACACTTGTGCCACTTAAATGACATTTAATTCCATAAACTATGAGATCAAAAACACCTGCATGCTCTTTGCAGAATACAGTTAGTTTTCAATTTAAATGGTTAAAGAAGAGAGACAAACAGGTTCTGTAGTCATTTATACAATGGGGTTGCTTCTGCCAACCATCGGTGTATAAGAAAATGAAACTCAGTTCCAAAATCAGAGATGTAGCTGGGATTGTGTTTCTTGTCTCTCCAAAATAATTTGGGGACAACAAATCAACTACTTTTGTCCCTCTAACTTGCCAACAATTTTGTGAAACTGTGGAGACAGCAGGATAACATGAGCTGTCAAGTGCCAGATTGTTCCACTTGATTATGATGCTCATAATATTAATACCATCTGATAAAATGTTGTGTTTGCTGCATTATTTATCTACATATTCAGTTCATTTTCTTCAGAATTAAACTGATTACTATGGAGTTTTTAAGAGAAAACACAATAGCAAGACAATCCAGTCACCATAAAAAAGACAGTAGATTACATATATTGAAATGAATACCTTTCAGTGGTATGGTTGCAGTAAAGAATGCTAGAAATATTTTCATTCATTACTGTGTTAACATTACACAATTTACACACACACAGTTCTTTAGAATTAACACAGCCTGATGTGATGGGAAGTCAAAAATCTCTACTGCTTTAAAAATGTGAAAACAAATATTAAAAGAACTATACATCACACGTGTTTCAGAATGGTATCAATCTCCTCTCAGGCCCATGAGCAGACATTATCCCTCTTAAAAATATTAACCATAAGTAAAACTATTACACCATATGATTTTTATACCTGGGCTAACGTTGCAATCTGTGGTTGTGCCTGTACTGTCATCTGTTGGGTTTCTGCCTCTGTACCGGCTGCATCTCCACTCTGCTGGTTCTCTGCTCCAGATTCCATGGTCATTTAGTTACCTACAATCACAATATTTGTCGTAAGTCTGGGTTGGTATGCAAGTCCATTATTCTTGGTGGATCTGGCAGTAATCACTGCAGCTGAATTCCCATTACTACATACTGTTTTAATTTGCTTATTAAATGTTGCCAAACTATTAGTATTCAGGCAAATTCTTTTCATGCCAGGTGTTTGCCTCAGATTGATTTTCCTGTGTGTAATGTTTCTGAAAAACAAGTCCAGTCTCCTCCAACAATGAGAACAGAAAAAATGCATTTTGCTCATCCTAAAAAAAACTGAGCAATTGCACTCTGATGACCTAGCACCTCTGCAATTTGGAATAAAGACCTGTTGGTATGTCAGGAAGGGCACTCCCTCAGTGGCAAGGTGACAATGTGCCCTGTTGCAGCCCTCCCTCTCCCCCCAGCTGCAGTCTGCAGGTATCCAATAGCAATTATTTCTGTGCTGGGTGCTCAGATCTCAGCCATCTTTCCCTGAACTAAATATGCAACATCTCCATGCAAGTTCTTTCCATCACCACACTGTGTATGGCTCTACGTCACAGCAACTTAGCCTCTTCCACCCAGTAATTTTAAAGCTGGTATACAAAATGATGGAAGCCATTTCTACTTGAACCTTACCACAAATGTTTTTATACTTAGAGGTACACATTAGCTTGTCATGACCTAAGTTTTTTATCATATACAGCTCCTAATACACTGGTATTTCTAAACACTGACTGAGATCCTAGATCACCAGAACACACAACTCTATAAAAAGAGGTTGCATAACTTCCAAACCCATGCACGTAGGCAGAGTGCAATGCCTGTTAAAATTCTGCACTGATCTGACAAAATCACTTTTCAGTTCTTCTTTAAGTACTGATATGAAAATATTTGATATAAAAAAGAACTTCAAAATACAAGGAAATTATATAGCAATGCTACTGTATTACACAGAACTCCAAATACCAAATATTAAGAATGGGTATTACCTCCACAGCCACAACACTTCTGTGTACCACCCTGTGCCAAATCTATTCATGCCTCTGGCTACCCTAGGGCAGCACACCTCTCTTCAGAGCTGGTCCAAAACAAGCACTAGAGCATTTCTGCTTTGAGAAGAGGCCTGGAGGCAGAGAATGCTCAGAGCAGAAGAAAGTTGGAAAGAAGCAGAAATACCCCTCTCCTTCCTGGGCCCTCCAAGGAAAAGACTTAGAAGCATCAATACAGGTGGAGGTACCATGTCCACACTCCAGACACTTCATTTGAAACATAAAGTCAGGGAAACTTCCATTTCAATGCAAACTGTATCTCAATGTTACAGGCAAGAGAACACCTTTTATACTGCCTAAAACAGCAGAGTCACACTTCAACCCTAAGTATGAAATGTCGTACAGTAAATGATTGGTAATCAAAAAAGATAAAAAAGCTTTTCACAGTAGTAACTGCATCATACATCAAAAGAAAGCAAGTCAGTGTATATAAATCAAAATTTCTACACTTCCTATTGAAAGTAACCATTCAAATGAGTTGACACACAAATTTGTGTCAACACTGAAATGTAAAGTATCAAATATTTGATTCTAACATCAGTAAAGAAGGAAAAGAATGAAATCTGATTTTCCTTGAAAATTAACAATAAAAGAAAGTATACTTTTTTTTAAAGCACATTAAATTATTCCAAGCAGTGGGATTTTGTTATGCCCCTCTCTAGCCAAGATTTCTGTGCTACAAACCAAATCTTTCCCATGTTGTGTTTCGTATTTCAAAAAGCACACAAAAAACCCATGCACTACTAGTATTTGCAATATATGTTACCAAACAGCTTTTGAAGACTTATTTACAACAGTTTAAGTGTTTTTCTATCTCAACTTTAACACACAAGTAATGTTTTAATGCTTAGCATAATGCATTATGCTTTAATGTCTCCATGCTACATGCCCATTTTTTGAATATTCTGTAATTTGAAAATGACAAATCAGATTACCATAGGTTTCTCTTTGATTTTTACCATTTCCATTACCATTTCACTATTTGTCCAAGGTAAGCAAATCAACAACTTTTTCCCAATTCTATGCATGTATCATGGTGACTCCAGCCAAAAGACTACCTCATCGGAACCATTTCAGAAGCAGATCCTTTACTTTACAGCAACATCTCCCAGTCAAGTCTCACCAATGAACTTTAAAACTCAACTTCCCAGCTATAAATCTAAGTATATTGCAAAACTAATAATGCTTCTGTTTGCTGATAGAAGTCCTGTCTCCAGTATGGAGTCAACTGGGATTAGAAATGGATGAAATGTGCAAGTATCAGGTATTTAGCAATGTTCACAAAGGTAAATGTGTTGCCAAATTCCTGCTGATAAATGCAATGTTTTCCTAGGAACAATTTCCAATCCTCTCATACACTATTCAGCAAAGGCCCTATGTCTTTACAAGCTTCCACAGTTACATCATCTTTTGCATATGTAATCAGCAAAAGGATTAACTGTTTGAGATACTCCCTCTTCTACAACATCAATGTTTCAGAAATCGAATTCCTAACATGAATTGCAAACACCCAAAAGGATCTTCCTTATTTCATAATGTAAGAACCAAGCAATGCAGGAAGCTGCCTGCAAGATTTATATCTTGACACGTGCAGTTTAAGTGAGTTTCCAACAACCTGCAGTTTTTTGACAAGCTCTCGGTTTCATGTTATTTACAGGTTCTAAGGACTCTGGTTCAATTTAGCTTGCACTTATACATCACAGTATTTGAATTCTAACAGCTTTGCTTTACCCTTTACAGTAATTTGTGAGAAAAAAGAGAAATCAGATTTTTGAGCCTCAAGGCATCATATTCCAGAAACACTGGTCACTACTAACATTTGGGTATGATCAAGATTGACAAAATGCACAGGACCATGTACACAGAACATAAACAATTACTAAGTTGTGTGTATGGGTAAGGCCATGATGGCTGAAATTAAGGTTGTCAATTCCTATTATTGCAATTTACAGTGTAACAGATGAAAATACATTTGGTTTGAAACCTTAACCTCCCAACGCATATAAATGAATGCAAATCTATACATCTCCTTTCTAAGCTTTCATACCCCTAGTCTAGACAAGCTTTGCTGATGAGTATGCCAGCATCTTTCTGTTCTTGTGGGTTCCACCACCTCCTTTTATTTCTCCTGCCCTGTTCACAGCGGCCCACCCTGCTACCTGGCACTGATTTCCCCGGCAGGCACCACACCAGGACTTCACACCTGAAGACAGGGATCTGAAAAGTGTCCTAGTGGGGAATAAGTCTCCAGAGCATGGACAGCATATGGGAGCCAAGGGAGCACACTTCCCATTTTTCCTTGCTTCCAGGCTACTTTCCAACTTGTCAGGAGAGGACACCCACATGCACATACTTAAAGAAAAGATTAGTAACTGCAGTATTGAACCAAGTATTCTATATGAAATTAACTGAAAACAGCAGCTATTAAGAACCAGAGTTGGAAAACTAAGGACTGCTTGCCTAAAACATCCTGGGTATGAACTTTGAACACCAGAAAGCTGATGGGACTACCTGGTTAGAGACGGTTTAACTCATGACTTTTGTAGCACACAGCTTTCTTCATTAGTCCAAAAGTGGCAGCAGTATTATATTTGCTAATGTTTTCTATTAATAACTTACTTACTAATGATCTCAAACTCTGGAAGTGAAGAGTCAAAGAGAGAAACATTCAGCTCAAAGATTGGTATTTATTTTAGCTAAATCAAGACTGGGAGAAAGGAGTTCAGCAGAGGATAACTAACTGTCCCAGATGAACTTACACCACGGCCACAGAAGACAGATGCAACTAAAAAACCAAATAGTTGCAGAATGCAACTTAACTACAAACAGTGCAGAAAAATGCAAATAAACCTGTCTCCTTACTTGCATTAGCCTGGAAGGGGCACTTAGATAAGGACTACTGCAGAGAGATCACCTCAGATTTCTGACATTTATGACAAGAAAAGCTAGAAAGTTAGACTGCAACAATAATAAGAAACAGGGTAATCTTTAACTACTGTATTTGTGTAGCTGGACCCTATATATCAGCTGGATTGCAGTGCAGAGGCTGGGAACCCATATTAAAAATGGGTTCTGTGAAATTTGGGCATTCAGAAAAAGCAAGTACTTGGAGGAGTGAAAATCTGTTTTATGAAGAGACTAGACAGATTTTTATTATTTATCCAAGAAAGGAGAAAAAATATTCAAAACCTAGAAAATAAATTATTAACAGGGTAAGTAAACTAGAAATATAGACTGTATGATTACAAAACCAGAAAAGCTTAAAGATGTCAAATTTTAAAAGTATAAAAATGAAAAATAAAAAAATCTATTAAAAAGTTACGAACATTGATACTTCGTGTACTGCATAAATGGATGCTACTGATGATACAAAATTTATTAGGACTTAAATATGGGTTAGACATGCTCTGGGGTAAAAGGAATATCCAAGAATATGTTGAATTAGTAGTTTTGTCATACCAAAAAAAGTGCTGAACAAAAAGGAAGATGAAAACCTAATGAGCTGGGATTTAAACTGATTTCTAAAAATTCAAAATGTTTTTATGAGGGGGGGAAGATTATATCCCATGTAATTTTTGCAGGTTCCAGTAGTCTTTTGAGGTACCTACTCATCTTTACTATCTTGAAGCCAGGGTGCTGAACAAAGTGCTACAGGTAATGCTAACTCCTATAATCCCTGTTAATTAAGTGAGCATCAGTACTGTGTATTCAGAGCACAGGCTGTTAGTTACCACCCCTCCCACCTCCCTAGAGTCAAGATAAAACAGAATTGTTTTCCAACAGCTCTCATCTTCTTCACTCTTTACTATCCTCCCCTTAGTACATCTGTGGTCTGTCTACTCTATTTTGCTTCCCTACATATTTTTCCATCTCTAGTCTGATTTAGCCCCATGAATTTTAGCACATCTCCTAAAGATTAGGCTCTGCTCCTTGGTCTCGCCTTGCTCATACAAGCCACGGAGCTTT